TATATATATATGTATATACTGTATATATGTATATATATATATATATATATATATATATATATATATATGTAGTATAGCACGTGATACATGATGCAATAATCATACCTGACAGTTTAAATTTTTCTCTTGCAGCATGAACACAGCACAACTCTTGAGTTGCACTAGATTAGCATTTCAATCACTTAATGTAATCTGCAAGAGAAGTTTTTGGGTATCACAGGTAAGTACTGTAAAAGGAAACCTTTTGGTGGTAAGCTATGTGTTGGATGTGTTTGCTGATTTTAGATATTAGTAGACTGAGAGACTTTTTAATGCTTTACTTACAGGTTGACAGGTGTGTTTTTAATCTGCCTTTAATTTACCCAGTTCAGTTAATTCTTAGTTAATAGTTAGAAAATTGGGGTTCCCTTTTTCAAAGTATCCCTGGCCACAATTAAGGTGGATGTCAAATGAACCAGTGTATAGCTCAGAGTAGCTCAGACCTGAAACATCTGTCACATCATGTTGATAACGTTTTCTTTTTTTGAAAATAACTTCTGAGTGGGTTTGCTTTGCTGTGTTAGCACTAGTGCAGAACTTGCCTTTTGTTTTCGCTTGGTTTACAACAAGTTGATGATCGAGTGTTTTTCTGTACTCTGTCAAAAGCATGCTAGATCTTAGCGCTAGTCGGAGTGGGAGAAAAGTAGTTGTAGAACAGTAGATGAAAGGGTCACCGGCACGTAGTTCGATTTACAACTTGGCTACTTCTGTACACTTTAAAAAATTACTTCCATGGTAATTTACTGGTGTGTATTTTGGTTTTGTCTTAAAGTGCATGATGGCATCTCGGCATACTAACGCCAAAAGAATAGAAGGACTTGACAAGAATGTTTGGTGAGTAGCATAGATCTTTTTTTTATATATTTCTTTAGCCTTTCCTATATTACAGGCATGGCCAACTTGCGGCTTGGGAGCTCTTTGCCCGGATTCATGTGGCTCTTACATTCATGTTGAATTTTATAGTGCTATAGATGTTACGACGCATGAGCCAATCAGCACGAGGAACAGAAGAGCATGCTGAATTAGCCAATAGTATGCTGTGTACAAGAATGTTTGGTGAGTAGCATAGATCATTTTTTTTATATTTCTTTAGCCTTTCAAAAAGAGAATCCACATTTTTAAAGCCAAAAATGTATTATTTTATAATGTTATTTTATAATTTTTATAATGTCTTTTAGTTCATTTTTTTGCAATATTGGATTAAAAAAAAAAATCTGCAATGTACTGAGGGAGCGAAAAGAGACCCGCGATATAGCGAGGTTTGTCCCTTAATGGTAGGAATGAAACTATTTAGGTAATAATGTAAGATGTCACGTGTTTTTTGGTTAAAAAAATCAAACAGTGTCAATTTTGATATTGGAAAATATTGTCAAAAATTTGGTATGAGTACCAGAAACTACCAAAAAACGTTGTAACAAATTGAACACACTATGCGTGCGTTTACGGTACTTTGTAAGGGTTTTCTTGTTGTGCGTTGTCTGTTTCTTCTGTGCTGTGTCAGCAACGTTTGTCTTTTTTGACTCAGGGTGGCGTTTACTTCCGTGGCAGCTGATCCATCCATTGTCAACCTTGGCCAGGGCTACCCGGACATCCCCCCACCTTCTTATATCAAAGAAGGTTTGGCAAAAGCTGCTTCAGTGGACAAGATGAACCAGTACACCAGAGGCTTTGTAAGACCAATGAGTCAATGATTACATTTTCTACAGCAACTACAACTATAATATTCGACAATTAAATGGAATAGACGCTTTATAAGGTACTATTCAAGTGGCAAAATTGATGAGACGGAACACTTGGCTAATAAGCACTCTCTGACATACAGTGACGTACATTTCTAGAGAACATCCGCATTTAAGTACAGGTCTTTAGTACTGCGAAAATGAAAGAACAATAGTACAAAGAATGAAGAATTGAACACCTGCCCATTCTGCCTAAAAAGCAGGTAGGCAAGTTATTCAACAGCTTACTGGCTATCGATTACACATTTGAGCCAATCACCATTTACTGTTTTTTTTTTTTTCTGTTCCTCCTTCTCTGCTGCACCTTTTTTTCCCTCCATTCACAACTGCTGTTCCCACCTGTCTGTCACCACCATAAATAAGTGACATATATTTACCAGGATACACACTGAGTGAGTGAGAGAGAGAGAGACATGGAACGTGATTCCCCTTTGTTTTCGTTTTATTTTTTTATTGTAGAGCAACCACCAACCAAGCTGTGCGGTGGTGACAGTGCCATAATCAAAATGACATTAGCGGAAAAATGTAACTCATTTTGGCTCAGGGGCTGCACACAGCCTAATTAGATACAGTACAATCACAACATAATTGTCTATAAATAGCAATAAGTCCATGTTTTCCCCTTTGTTTTCATGCAAAGAAGAAAGTACAAGCATGTTGGTTAAATCTTCATATTTAATGAAATATAAATTTACTAATATCCTGAACATGAAGTGTTTGTGTTTTTGAACCCCCTAGCACAGGCCATATGTTTGACACCCCTGATGTGGACCATAGCCTATTGTCATTAATAGAGCGACCAAGACCGAGTTGGGGCGACTAAGCGTAGGAGAAGGACTGGGAGGGAGCACTCGATTTAGATGATAAAAAGAGAGAGAGAGACTCTTTTGAGGCTGGACATAAAATGAAATAAAAATCACATTTTTGTCTAACATTATTATTTGATTTTTTTTTTTTTGTTTTGCTTTGTTTTTTTGGAATCCAGTCCCAGGCCAGATTAGATGGTTAGGTTGGCCCGCAAGCCTCCAATTGATATTTACTGCTACAGAGCATTAAAAAAACAAGGTCATTCAGAGTACATTTCTGTACATGTCTTTATTTAAAAAAAAATGATAAACTGGCTTGGCTTAAACATTAGAATGAGTTTTTGTTTGTATATGACAATCTGATAAATGATAAAACATACAGTAACTCCAACCAAAAAAAAAAGTAATATAAAACTACTAGTTTTGGTCTATCAGCAATCAGAGGAGTATGACCTGCTGTGTTTTCTTGGTGTTTAGGGTCATCCCTCCCTGGTGAAGGCTCTATCTCAGGTCTATGGAAAAGTGTATGGACGTCCTATTGACCCTTTGAACGAAATCCTGGTCACAGTCGGAGGTTATGGTTCCTTGTTCAGTACCATACAAGCGTTGGTGGAAGAAGGAGACGAGGTAAATATCCAACACACTTTTTCTGGTCTCTCTTGCAAATAACTGTTCTGTCGCAGTGATAAAATTGACAATATTATTTCTTGGACAGTCGATACTTGAACAAAAAGAGTTTAGAGAAGGCATGTCTTCTGTACTTTTGTCTTTACATAGTAAAGGGCCACTGCATAAACCAGTTTTTTTTTTTTCCGAGAGGACAAAATCACACTTACTTTACTTTGTCTGCTACGACAGCTACGAAATAATTGAAGCAAAGTTCAGAAGCAGTAGGTCTGTCTTCAGTCTCCAGTTGTGTGTGTGGTTAAACGTCTAAAACATCATTAGCATAAAATAATTTTAGAAAAAGAATGTCAAAAGGCCAGGCAACAGTAGAATTGTGGGTGAAATGTTCTGCGGTGTACTTCGTACTTTGTGTCCCAGCCTGAAGAACATACTATAGTACATCAAAAAGACAGATGTACAGTAGGTGTGTAAGACAACTACGTATACTATATATATATACATATATATATACACAGTACATTTGTCTATGCCATATATTGGAACCAAACCAAGGGTCAAACCAAAACCAAGCACAAGCTCTAGTAGAAATCAATCAGAAAAACAGAGAGGAAAACAGGCCGGACCTCTGAAAGAATGTTTAACCAGCACCAAGCACCTGTATAATTTAAATCCACCAACACCCTAAGTCAAAGACTGGTTCATCCAAAGGACAAAATACAGTACGTCACCACAAACAGAGCAACATTGTTATTCACAATCAGGACAAAAAAAAAAGGACACACTTTTGTCGAGGAGGATGTACATATCCTCGCCATGTTTTGCTTTTGCTGAATGCTTTCTGCAAGTTTTCTTTTCAAAGTTAATCTTTTCCAATTCATGTATTTGCCTCTGCTATATAATCACTAAACTCAAATCTTAACCGGTTGCAATGTTTCCCACATCAGTGAGTTATTATCAGATTTATTGATATGTTCTTAAAAGGTATCCCTCCTGTATGAACATTCTGTTTGATCATTGTCGTTCAATGTTTCACATTAGCACCACTGTGTGATGTTTCCTAATCCAGGTGATCATCATAGAGCCCTTTTTTGATTGCTACGTCCCCATGGTTCGAATGGCTGGAGCCAAGCCTGTGTTGATACCACTGCGTTGTGTAAGTTCATTTTCGAGCTGCAATTAAAGCATAAAATGCTGAATGTACAAATTCCCTGTCCTTGTAAACTTTATACTTTATACTTTATACTATAGTCCAAAAAACAATTCATCACAAGTGCTGACTGGAAACTTGACCCGGATGAGCTCTCTAGTAAATTCAACTCCAAGACGAAGGCCATCATAATCAACAACCCCAACAATCCACTTGGGAAGGCAAGAATATGTGATGGTTACTTTCATTGTCATTAAGAGCTGGAAATTTTTTACTGTATGGATGAAGAAGCTGTGATCTCTGTGGTGCACTTATAGTGCGTCTTTTCCTGCAGGTTTTTACAAGAGATGAACTGCAGACGATTGCTAACCTCTGCATTGAACACGACGTTCTGTGCTTCAGCGACGAGGTTTATGAGTGGATCACGTACAAGGGTCACCAACACATAAAAATTGGTCAGACATCAGCTTAACTACCATATTTTCTGGACTATAAATCGCACTTTTTTTTGCATCCTTTGGCTGGATTTTTAATATATATATATATGTATATATGTATATACAGTATATATATATATTTCACACATTTGCTAATTTTACGCTGACAGCCGCTAGAGGGCACTCTAGGCGTGTGTACCAGTATCTGCTATTCCTGTACCACTGAAAATGTACATGTTCGTTATTTGCACACTGGCAGCCACTAGAGGACACCGTTGTGACTTATACTCCAGAGCGACTTATTTATAAGTTGTTGGTTTTTTTTTTTTCATTTCTTTTCATTATGCATATTTTGGCTGGTGCGACTCTCTCTCTCTCTCTCTCTCACCACAGTACTATAGACATATTTTTGTGTGAAGTTTTGATACAGATACAGGTTTGACTTGTTTAATTATTTAAACCGGTAATTGAACAACCACACACTACTCTATAACATGGTAGCTCTCAAGGAGTGTGTGTGAATATATTAAGCTGCTGTAAAAAAAGAAAGAAGGTCACATCCCTACTTGGACTTTTGACGTTATTGTCAACAAACTTTCAACACAAACCCATTGGAAATGAACAAAATAAGACTAAGAATAAGTAGATAGTCAGAACACAGATCAAAGCCATGAAAATGAGTGTCAGTCTCACACCTCCATTACTGACTGATCACAATCTCCAGCACAAAGTTAAAGACTTTTGAAAAGCTGGGTAACTGGACTGTCGCCACTTAAGTCATTGTAATGTACAGTATTTATATAAAAAAAAGAGAAATAAAAGGCAGTTTCATGTTAGGGCCAAACGATTCCCAACATGTTTTTCCAAAGGTGCAAACCAGTGACCTTCTTGCTGCAAAGGCAATGCGATCTGACAATGTGATCATAATGAAAATGTGAGCAGTGTAAAAATCTGTATTTCTGACTGTTGTTGTTGTTTTTTTTTGTTTTTTTTTAAGCCACTTTGCCTGAAATGTGGGACAGAACAATCACCATAAGCAGCGCAGGGAAAACGTTCAGTGTGACTGGATGGAAGGTAAATAATTTGAATATATTAAAAAAAAAAAAAAAAAATTAGTGTATTTCCAGTGGTTTAGCGTTAGTGAGGTAACTTGATGTTGTTGACACAACAACATAAAAAACAAAACACTTGACTATTGGTTTTCTTTTTTTTTTTTTTTTTTTTTTCAGCTTGGTTGGTCAATTGGTCCAGAGCACTTGGTGAAGCATCTTCAGACCGTCATGCAGAATACCCTTTATACCTGTGCAACACCATTACAGGCGAGTTTGCAAAATGTCTCCAGATTTGTAAGAAAGAGCCAAAAATAATTAAATACCCTTTTACTTTTGAGTCTGCTTCGCTACGTACAGGAAGCCGTCGCACAAGGTTTACTCCTAAACTTCGATCTGATGGGTCAACCCGAGTGCTACTTCACGTCTCTGGCAGATGAACTACAAGAGAAGAGGGACCGCTTGGCCAATATTGTCCAGGCGGCTGGCATGACCCCAGTCATCCCAGAAGGAGGCTACTTCATGCTGGTTGATGTGACATCTCTAAGTAAGTTCCGAAATGGGCAAAAGAGCCGTAGGAGAAAAAAAAAAACACTTTTTGTGTGCTAATATATACATATGATATATATATATCCTGATAGCTATCATATCGCGGTAGTTGCGTTCCAAGTCCCTCTGCAAAACAGGAAAAATTACATAGTAGAGGCCCACAATTATATGCCCGAGTAGAGCGGGAATCCTGCATCAAACAATAAAAATATGTAGACAAAATTAAAAACTTGAATTTCATAAATCCCAGTATAAACAGTGACCCCACCCACCACCCATTCTACAGGAATATAGCCCTCATTGATAGGGATTGGTGGCCTGGCTTTTATTAAGTTGAACAGGTTATAGGGAAACTACGGCCCGGGGTATGCGGTCCATTTGGCTTTTTAATCCGGCCCACCAAACTTGTCCTTATTGTGTTATTCATTTCTGTTTTTGTCAGATTTCTGCCTTTCCCCTGCAATGCCAACGTTTCCCCAAAAGATGGCATAGAAAAGACTAAAAGCAATTTAGCATTTACCGACTGACTTTTACGTGTCATTTGTTTTTGATCATAAAAACGCTCCAGCTATCTGCTCCTGACATTGAGTCAAAAAGTTTGCGCACACCTGGGTTAGAGGAATTATTCAAAGAAATGTACCAACATAATTTCTTCTGCTTTTTTTCCATCAACTCTTCTAAAAGTTTTTTTTTTTTTTAAACCGGCACTATTTGTCTGCATTGGTGACTAATTTTAAAAGTTTTTTTTTTCCAAAACTTGTTTTTAATTTTCCTGTGCTGCTCGCAGATCAGGACCTGTCCCACATGGTTGAAGATGAAAGCTATGACTACAAGTTTGTGAAGTGGATGATTAAAGAAAAGGTTATCAGAAATGCATTGCTTTCAATACATGTATTCTCTCGGTGTTTGTTGTTTTCCTAACTTTTGTTGTTGTTTCGAATCTACTTAGAAACTTGCAGCAATCCCAGTTACAGCCTTTGTTGGAGACGATTCCAAAAAGCATTTTGAGAAATACATACGCCTCTGCTTCATCAAGGTAATTAAATATTCAATATCATCTATCTCCGTTTTCTGCGGCGAAGAAAATCGTAACCTCTTGTTTTTTTGTTTTTTTTGGGGGTTTTTTTGTCATCAACAGCAAGACAGTACCCTTGAAGCAGCAGGAAACATTCTAAAAAACTGGAAAATTTAAATTTAAAAATTTAAAGGCTGCCAAGTCTGTGATCTGCAGTGTGCTTAAAGACGTAAAAACTAAAATGTGAACAAGGCATCAATCATTTTCCTGCTTGTGTTCTCCTTCTTCTCGTGCCTAGCAATTCCAGCTTTGACATTCTTGGTACGATACTGTATGTGTGTGCGTGTATATATACACTTCTGATCAAAATCTTAACGCCAGTTAATAAATTACAAGAATTTACATTCTGCACTGTTGGATTTTAAAATGGTTCTTAAGTAGAGCTTAAAAATGCAAACAGACGAAATGGGATCAAGAGACAAGAAGTTCTGAGCAGGTAATGATAATACACATAAACTTTCAGAAATGGCGAGTTCGGAGTCAAAAGGGGAAGAAGGCGTTTTCGAGGTGTAAATACAGGCACTGCATCGATGTTTTCGAGGTGTAAATACAGGCACTGCTTTAACTGCATTGATGTAAACGGTAAAAATGTACATGTTCAGTGTACATTATGTCCCAGAGCAAAGAGTTTGTCCACGTCCGGTGTGAACAACTCCAATTTAATGATGCATGAAATAAATATGATGACTACAGAGAAAAGTAAGGGAGGTAGGCAGTACGTTGCCTGACCTCAAGGGGGCGTTTAAAAAATTAAATTTGTGCTGCCCTCATCTCTATAGTTTAATTTGTTTACAGTAAATATGAATTGCTTAGACACAAGAAGGGCGCTCTGTCCATTTGGATGGATGGATGGAAACGTCCTTTGTAGGACAAATATGTTCCTGTGATATATACGTATTTGTGTTGGTATAAAGTGTCTTTAAAAGAGGAATGCTGATGGATATGAAGCATTACCAGGTGCATGCTGTTGGATGAATAGTGAAATAAGATGCTGTTTTTTAGCTCTTAAAATTGTAAATCTGACTCCAGAGGAGTCAGTGCCTCACCAGCCATGAACCTCACCAGACATCACTGATGTCAACAGTTGATTCAGACTCCTTCATAGTTCTCATAGGCAAAATATCTAAGAGAGGAGGAGCCGGTCCGTCATGCGAGCACTGTATGTCCACCAGTTGTCTTAAGTTGTAAAAGCTTGATTCATTTAATTTACACCACAGTGAGTTAAAAACACCTATTCATACATACTCATATTCTTAAAATGTTTATGTTTTGGTAAGAAGAAAACAGTTGATGTGCAATAAATTAAAACCTCTGTTCAGGTCCCGGTCTTTGCTTTTCTACTCAATACAATAGTTACTTTCACTGGTAACTAGTTACTTCTATAGTGGAGTAACTCAATTACTAACTCAGTTACGTTTTGGGAGTAGTAACTGGTAACTATAACTAAAATGACTTTTTCAAAATAATGTGCCCGACACTGCTCATTTGCAACTGTAGATTAATCAAAACCCAGGAGCCATTGTTATTGTTCCCAATTTTAGCACCATCTCGCATGGTCTCCATCACTCATTCCAGAGATGGAGGTTTAAGGTCAACTCACTTACTGTGCCAATTATGCAAATGATATTACACACTTACGCACAATTTGCAGGTTACCTTATTTTCTTAACTATCGTGTGCCAGAGTTTTCGTTTTCGTTGTTATCATCAAATATCGTGAAACAGGATGAAGTAGTAGATGAACAATAATAATTTAGAAAAAGCTTTTTTTTTTCTCTTTAAGATGTCTACAGTCATTGCTGTCTTTTAACTACTTCTAGGGTAGTGTTATTTAACCATTGTGGCAGATCATTTGGTCTACTTTGGGAAATTATTATTATTTCATTCGAACGGTTTTAAATGACGAGGTTCATAAAGGTTTGTTTTTGTTCATTCTACCTATCTGTCTATCTGTCTATCTATCTATCTATCTATCTATCTATCTATCTATCTATCTATCTATCCATCTATCTATCTATCTGTATATCTATCTATCTATCTATCTATCTATCTATCTATCTATCTATCTATCTATCTATCCATCTATCTATCTATCTGTATATCTATCTATCTATCTATCTATCTATCTATCTATCTATCTATCTATCTATCTATCCATCTATCCATCTATCTATCTAT